AAACTCTTGTCGTGGACCTTGTGCCCGACATATAGTGAAAATATTATTTATTTGTTCGTAGGCTGGTTCGTGATGATGGTAACACATTCTAGTGACTGGACAAAGGGACTACTTCAAGTATATGCATTTTGCTTAAATGAATAATTATATTTAATTTAGAAATGAGTATGTACAAAAGAGATTTAGTCATATGAGAATAATTTGGTATAACAATAAATTGTAGTGTAGTTTAATATGCAAATACAATTATCAGAAAATGAACTTCAGTATTGAAACATTTTTAAATAAATTCAAGAAAACCTTATAAGTTTGAAACTAAATCTTTGAAAGCATAATAAAACAAACATTTAAAAGAATCTAAAACAAAAATATAACAAAACTCAAAATTGGTACCATAACTCAAAATTTGGTAACATAACTCAAAATTTGGTAACATAACTCAAAATTTGGTAACATAACTCAAAATTTGGTAACAACTCAAAAACTTGGTAAGGAACATTATAGTAGTTGCGTGGTCAGCGTTCATCAAACAATATAACTGTTTAACTAATAATTTCAATGCAAATTAATCTTTAAAAATAGATATAAATCTCAAAACGTTATCCAATCGAGAATACAAAGGGCGATTTATCATCAAAATTAAATTGAACTTTAAAAATATTAATAAAAACAAAACTTTGAACTTTTTATGAAATCGTGCACATTGTTGGAGATTTTAACACTTACCCCTTTGTGTCACAACACAAACACACACTAAACAGGCAACTGGCTAGAGGACTCTGGTCTTTTTTGGATCTTTAGATCTTTTATAAGTAAAGACCCCTCCAAAGGAGTTGTTTTCGCAAAATTGTTTACAAGTTACCAGTTTATTTGGGGTGTCGTAAAAGTATTTGTGTTTCCACCAAATTAGGCTTAATTAACTGTAATATGAAGATTTTTAGTGGCAAAATGTGCTTTTTGTTAAAATTAACAAATTTAAACCATGAAATTATAAAACTGGACAAAGACATCGTGTCCAGCCAAACGGCGCCAATATTTAACTGTGAAATTATAAACCTTGATTAGAATGGTGTGAAATCATAAAATCCAAGTTTCACAAGGACAACCTTAATTTTTACGACAATGACGATTGTTCTGATTCATACCAACATCTCCAAAAATAAGTAAATTTATCGCCCGCTACACCGTCAAGAAAACTGAAAAAATTTCTTACCATTGTATGTAATGCTGATTTCAATTTTGTTTTTTTTTTTAATTAGTAATGAGATTATTGTAAGAAATGTTCTGTTTGAAAATTTATATAATATTTGAATATCACAAATTTAGACACACAAAGAAACAATAAAGCTTAATTGAGTGAAAAACAAACTACGCAGCAGCGGCGCGAAGGGCATCTCTTCGTCAATATCAATTTGCTCTAACCACGGCCAGAATACTCGCTATGGGGTTTAAATTGCTCGTATTCCTGAGGCCTACTCCTATCCCCGCAAAGGATGCAGACAACTAGACAGGCTGATTGATTTGTGTTAAAAATTGCAGATAAACATTCACATGAAAATGGCAAGGAAAGAAAAGCTTTCAATTCCCGTCACTTCGTCTCCACGCAATCTAGAATCTCCAGAATTTTGACGATAGCAAAATGAGAAAGGAACATGCAAAATTTAATTAACTCTTTCAAGAATTATACAGCTCAAGTTAACGATTAAGTTAAAATTGGTTCAGTAAGATAAAGATTACAACATAGTTTTAACAAATTCATAATAAAATTATAACACATAAAACAAAGTACATACATATGAATTAATACAACAAGAATAAATGTTAAATTCAAGCTGTGAGCAAATAATTCAAGTGTAAGAAAATAACATACAACAAAATTAAAAAATTGGTCGAAGGCTATTTCGACACAGAACTTCGCTCGCCCTTGAGATATAATCCGACAAATCCACCTCTTTAAAAAAATTGGTCAAAAGCTGTTTAGTACTTGCTCATATAAGACTGATTTTGGCAAACGTCATACCTTCTGAGAAAATACAGGGTGGGTGGGCGGGGTTAGTACTTGCTAAGATAAGACTTATTTGCCCTTATTTTAAACTTGTAAAAACTTGTTAAATTGTAAATTTCCATAGTAACGAGTTAAATTCTTAAATCTGATTGGATGTTTATTTCTTAACAACTCAGTCATTAATTTTTTTGAGTCACCCTGTTTAAGCCAATCTAAAAAAATGAATGCAGTGATAAATTACAAGTATAGACTGATTATATTTTGCATATTTTAGGTAGTATTTATCCGGCAAAATTTTGAGATAGCGTCATAAATTTTTTGGAGGTGATAAGCGAATATATTTTGATTAAAAAATTATTATGCTTATCGTAAATTTAAAAAAATCTGCAAGATTTCAAAGCATTCTGTTATGCCGATTCAAAATTAAATTGCAAAATGTTTTCTAATTTTGATTTTGTTCCAAAAATCTGGACATTTCAGGTAGAAACTCAACACGGAGTCATAAACTACATGTGAAGGACTATGTTATTTTATACCATTTCAAACCCTTTTACCATGTACAATTTTGAAGTAACGTCATCACATTATTGGTGGCGATGATTAGACAAATTTTGGTTAGCGTTTTACCATCTACATGATATTCCTAATATAAATACAAAATTTGAAAACAATCGGTCTAGCACTTTCGGAGATACGTGTCTAATAAAAGTGGATACAGAGACCAGGCAGACAGACAGACAGACGGAAACGGCAGACCACTTTTTTCGTACTGTAGGGGTCATGAAACCTCGAGAAAATATCAAATTGGCCATTCGTCGGATGAACTCGATTACTATACTTCCTTAGCTTACGCTCGGGAAGTAATAACTATAACATACATCGCAATTTCGAGTCAATGATGATGATATTAATTTAACTACCCTTAATTTTTTCAAGGCACTTTCGCTCAAAATGAATCAACGTTAAATGTTAATTATTACAAATTTCGAGTGAGAAGTTATGAAGTTTGGATAATGTAATACTAATAACTTAAATAAACACATCTAGAACCTTAAATACATACTTATAACAAATAAACGAAAGAGCGAAACCTGAATAAGTGAATTTCCTGCCACGTGTTTTATGTGAACATCTACATTACTTGAGTTAATCGCAGTAGTTAGAAATCTTAACCTGAATTGTGAATTTACAAACAATAGATAGAAATATTACACGCGTTTATGGAATAGTCACAGTTTAAAAATCACTATTAAACTGATCTTGCACTACTTACACGCGTTGGACGGAGACAGTGGCGTCGAAAGCGATTAATTTTTGTATCACTAACTAAATTAGACGTGACGCTGATGAGCAAAAATAGGTCGTGAAACCTTTTTTTTTTAATTCTATCTGCATGGCCCTGCATTTCAAACCCCTACCCTAAGCCGAGGGCTTTAACATTTGAAATGCAATGAATTGTTTTATTTTTAATTTTTAATTTGTCAAATGTGGTGTTTTTCTTCTCCGCGCGAAATTTAAATTTCAAATTCAGGAAATAACAAAATTTTGACTGAAAAATAAGCCCTGAAAGGGTGTTGTTTGAGGTTCAGGAATTCTCCAATAGGGGGGAGAGGGTTAATATTAATCAGTGAGAAATAGCATTTATCTCAATTTTTCAAATATAAGTGATTTTTGAACCAATTTAGCATGAGAAGTGCCGCAAAACATTTTAAATATCATACGCAATGCTAAATGATAGGTTAAGAAGAAAAGATAAGAAACTTAAATTAGAAGGCAAAACTGTATTTTCCTACGAGCAAGAAACTGGCATGTTAATTATATTCTCAAAATATCGAATAAAAAAAAATTAGTATCATCAGTATTACCGATGGCTGTGATCGATATTATAATACTACAAGGGGAGGTAGTGTCGATTGAAATAACACTTGTCACTTTATTTTTCATTAATTGCTACTAAGATTTATGGTTCTAGAAGGTTATATTTTGTTGATCTGACATATTAATAGTTATTGTTCTAAAATAAAAAGTTTATTTTTGCACTATCATTCATTTTATTGTAAATTTTCCCTGAAATGATCGGTATTTATCTGCTTTCTCTTATTCCAAAAGCTTTAGAATGATTGTGCATAGTTTAAACATGTTCTAAGAATACAGCAATATTTTGATTTGTATGATATTGTACGTATTAAAATTAATAATATATCTGTGGTTACTAAAAAGTTGTGTGAAAAAGATTAAATGAATAATCTCTAGTGAAAATACAGATGTTGTGGTTTTGCTTCAGTATTATTCTTTCATTTTTTAGAATTACTACCCACAGTGAAATAAAGGTATGAAAGGCGTTATTATCGTTTATCTCAGAACCAGCTCTTCTGAGAAGTGAGAAAATTAGTTACATTGTGTATGTCAAAAATAATGAATCTATCCTCAACAAAATGTTACTAAATTTTAGAAGCAAAGAAAGTTCTGCGTAAATGTATTTTTCGAATGATTAAGACATTATTTAAATCGCTTAATGCTTAAAATTTTTATTTATTACAGTAAAACCAGTGAATGAGTGAAGAGTGTGTTGCCTACTTTGAATTTTATAGCAGCCACGTTATCAGAGTGAGAGCATGTAGACGTAGCTGTAGTGCCGTGTGCAGTGTGTAATAGTAATAGGAAGCTTCAATTTTTGAATTTATTTGAGATTAAAACATGAAAACTGTTATTTTATTAGTTAAAAATGTGTTAATACGAATTAGTGTTTTTCAGGTACATAGGTCGGAAACAAATTTCAGGTTTACTATTGTAACAACAAAGTGTAGAGTATGCAGCGGTAACAAATTATTAATTTAATATTTTCTCTGTATTTGTAAGTAGCAAAACACAACAGTGTAAGTGAACAAAATATAATTTCTCAAAATCCGTGTGCAATTTTTATTACTTAATTTAATATCTTATTTTAAACTTAATCATAGTTTGAAATAAGCGCGTTATCTACAACTCGCGTGCCGTGTGCAAGTGCGATCTGGTTTTTGTAGCATTTGTGATGTTTATTGTTTTGCAATAAGAAACTAAAATGGAATTGATGCAGATTAAAAAATTCATCTGCATTGCTTTCAATTATGTAAATTAAAGCAATTTCCTCTTAAGTTTAATAGTAATTTGAAATAATCGCGCCACTCACAAGTTGCGTGCCGTGTGCAAGTTTTTTTTGCAATAATAATTTTTTATCTTTATTTGTCTTCTATTTTGCAGGTAAGAATTTCATTTCTCCCACACAAAACGTTAAATGACAAGGAAAATGACCAGTTATAATTGTGGAGTAATTAACGACAGTAATAAAGCGAAATGTGTGGTTTTCACTCCATATGGCGCCGTGAAAATTTTAAATTTTTAAATTTTGTAGGTAATTGAAAGTGAAAGTTATAGTTCTTTTTTTAAACGAAGTAGATGTTCGTAATGTGTACCGTAGCAGATATGTGCTTTTTCTTATTGTATGTGGATAAATATATTTTTAAAATTGATAAACCACTGTTAACTAAATAACACAATTGCACCTATTTATAGAAATGTCGATACCACTGGTATCAAAATTTTAAAACCTTAATGTTGTTCATGTCGAATGATATTCCAAAAATATTTGTAAGTATAATATTATTTCCTTATTTTTATTAATCAAAATTCAACTTCATTATTAGGCAACACGTAAAACAGACTAGAATCTCAGTTTACAACATTTCGTTTTTCTTCGGCAGCAGAAAGGACTTATGTATTACTAGGATAAATAGATATATGGTATATATTTGTTGTGTATTTTGTGTTTGTGTGACAATAACTATATGACATCAAAAAATAAAAAATCAGCCACGTTTTTTATCTTACATATATTTTGACCTTGCCATAGTATGTGGACAGTTCAACTGGAGGTTTTCATTCAGTAGTGCCATAATGAAAGAATCAAATGTTGTTAGCACTGTATTTGCGAATTTCAATTACCAATAGAATTACTATCTACGTTTCCGCGCCATTTTTATTTGAAAATTGAATCCCTATATGTGGAACTTTTCTTGTGGGACTTATTACAATTTATTTTTGAGTTACATTTTATCTCATAAATTTATGCCAAATCTCAGTTATTAATAGTACATATTCGAAATAAAATAAAAATGTTTTATCATTTTGTTATCATGTTATCATTGGCAGAGCATAATAGTGACTCACAAATATTTAGTCTCTCTAACAAAGCAACAAAGGAAAACATGTTCAATGAATCTGTGTCCAGAAGCATCAGCAAAGAAGAAAAAGTGCCAAAATATGTGATAAAATTAGAAAGAGATTTCATTGTTGGTGAACCCTTAGGAGAAGGAGGATTTGCACAGATTGTTAAGGTAACGTAGCTTACAATAAAAGAACACTTTCTTAAGAATCTTGTAAAATCGCTTCATTTTATAAAAGCCAATTTTATTGCAGGCTCAACATAAACTTGATAACAATGTGTATGCCATAAAAATTATCAAGTTCGACTCTGATATCGATGACCTGACGGAAACTGAACGGGAAGTGAAAAATTTATCACAATTATACCATAAAAACATAGTCAGATATTATAATTCTTGGATCGAAATTGCTCGACTTCCCTTGCGTTTAAAAAATTCACTGGACGAAAAAGTAAGATATGTTTTTATTTCATATCATCATTCTAACTAATCATCTCTGTAGTCTTTAGTTTCAGAAATTAAAATTCTGGGCGACAAGGGCTTGTTTGTAAGCGAACCAGAAGAAGAAATCGAAAATGAGGAAAACTGGGAACTCGCTAAGTATTTGTTCATTCAAATGGAGCTGTGTGAGAAGAAAACACTTCGATCAGCGATTAATGAAGATCTGCACTTGAATGAAGATCAAATTGCTAAATATTTTACGGAAATTTGCGAGGGATTGCTACATATACATCAACATAATATTGTCCATCGGGACATCAAACCTGAAAATATTTTTCTTACAGCGAAAAATGAAGTTAAAATTGGAGATTTTGGCTTGTCGAAGCAAATTTCCAAATTTAAACCAGAACAGTCATGGTCATGTCATGGTAAATCTAATATTTAAATATGGGCAGAAATGAAGGAGTGTATTTTTTAGAAGTTATTCCTGGCAAAGAGTTGCCTTGTGGTTCTTTAACAGATGTGTGTGGTACGCCAATGTATATAGCCCCCGAGCTATATAATCGAACAACTTTTAACATAAAAGCAGATATTTATAGCTTAGGTATGTAACGTACTTTTATTGCATATTTTTGTCGTGATTAAATTTTGTAGGGATCACATACTTTGAAATGTGTTGTCAACCAATTAAAACCCACATGGAGAAAAGTCAAATGTTCCCTCTAAATTCGCAAAAATTAAAGACAATTAAGTTCAATAAAAACAATGCAAAGAAAAAATTTCTTCTTAGGTAAATAACTGATCTATATTGTTTATCTCTTTGTTTATTCAATTAGTATTGATTACAGAAAACTTGTTCACCTAAATGACAACGAAAGACCCACGTGTGAACAAATTTTGGACATTGTTAAATCTGCGAAGTCGGTTAAGGAAATTAATGAAATGATTCAACAAAATAAGAAGATTCCAAGGAATCACTTTAAAACATTTGAAAAAATTATGAAGTCTAACAATTCTGAAAATATTGATTTGATTACGTTTTTGACGTCGACGGCGACTAAAGTAATCAAAACACTTTATAAGGAAATACAAAATATAGAAATAGAAATTTATTTCATTTTTGTAGATTTTCGAACAGCATGGAGCTCAAAATATACAAATGCCTACATTTTTACCAAGTTTTAGTAATTATTCAGATAACTTAATAACTTTGCTTAATAAACGTGGAAAGTCTTCGTCTGTTTCCAATACTTCGAGGTAACTGATGTTTCATGGTAGTGTTAAAGGATACTTGACAGTTTTTTCTTTAGAATTGCTTTTTCTTATTACGTGGCAACTAATAATATCAAGAATATTAGAAGGTACTGCATTGGAAAGGTTTTTGAGGAAGGTTATTTTTCGCCAAACGAATATCAAGAATGTATTTTTCAAGCTATATCTTCAGAGCCAGGTAACATTTTTACTAATTCGAATTCACCTGAAAAAACAATTTTTAGAGGATAACGTCATGGATGCAGAAGTTTTGTTCATTAGCAAGAAACTATTGGAAACGATTTTTCCAAGTAAACAACAAAACATTGTCTTCTGCATTAATCACTCGTTTATTTTTTCTACTATTTTAAAATATTGCAAGATTACAGAGAAACATGCTGCAATTTTTACTAACATTATGTTGAATTTTTGCGTAAGTAACGCTGCGTGCAGAAAGTTTACTTTTATTGATCTTTTGTTTTAGAATAAAAGTACAACGGATGAAGACATGCGTTCCACAATTTTATCTGCAGAATTAGACTCACGTATTCTAGATTCTATGAAAGAAATGAAAACTGCTACTAGTATAACACAATTCGAGGAAAAAATTTTTGCATTAACAAAAACAAAATCAAAACACCTTGTTTCTGTTTTCAAGCGTCTGAAGAACATCATTAAATATGCTCAGGAATTTGGAATTGTATGTAGAGTAAATGATAAGAATTTTCAAATTCTATTCTCATATTTATTCTAGGATGCAGAACAGATTCATCTTGACCCTTTTCTGATAAATCGCAGACAAAATTCGGGCTTCATGTTTAGAATTGTGCTCGAAGAGCAGTCAGTTTTGGCAACGGGTGGACGATTTGAATCACTTATAAAAATGTGCAGAACTACCCAAGGATCCAAGCAAAATTCTAAAATTTCTGCCATCGACGTATCTTTCAATGTTGAAAATATTATTAAATTGCTAACAACAGATGATAAACCAAGTGCTGTGGTGGACGTTGTTCTACGTGCGAAAGAAAAATCAACAGTAATTTCGGTAAGCAAATGAGAAATTGTGAAACAATTTTTAAAAAAGGTTTTAGGCCTACAAGAGTCTACTTGCTAGAGGATTGAAATGCACTCTTGTAACGACTCAAGTGTCATATGCTGACATATCACGTCTGAATCCTGTAGTTGTAATAGATTTTGGCGACGAAAATGTGGCAAGAATTATGGTAGCGATGGGTTTACATAAAAATTGGTGGGTATCTACTGTACAAATACCGTGCGATTGAAAATAAAATTAATTGGAGTTGGCGAGTTGGCATTAGTTGTAAAGCTTTGAATGGTACTACTGTTCACAATTTAATGTATATGAATGTCAACGTAATCTTAAATTATGCAGTCACTTTTTTGTCACTGTCCAAATATCTCGCCAATATAAGATATGTGTACAAAATTAGAAAACTCTACGTTGTGTTCTGAAAATGGCGGGATGTCTTCAAATGCAAAGTTCTCATTGACAAGGGTGCAAAAGTGACCATATTTAAATATCACAAATTTACGCAAAACAGCGAGGTATTATAAGGGTGACATTTATTAATTCTCTAAACGTGTTAAAACATTGGTGATTGCCAACGTTATTGAAATGATTTAAATTTTTTTAATTTTCAAATTTTAGGCGATTAACGCAAGTGGCTGACTGCAAATGGACGCAAAATGGTTTTGTAGACTATGTCGTAGCCGTGGTTGGTAGGTTTAAATTTTAAAAAACTAATATAAATTGACATACTTCTGCTAAATACATCCTGGTTAACAACAATGTCCTGTGAGATGATAAAATGTAGTGTAATACAATTTTATGTGTAATTTACCTTAGTTAGAAATTATAAGTTTTATAAGATTTCAGTGTTTATTTTTTTTATTTCTGAGTAGTAAATTTGTGATAGAAGTTGCTCTCTCACAAAACTGGTCATTAACTATTTAAAGGGTTCACATCTCTGAGGACACCCATTGGACATCTGTAGGATGGTGCTCCAAAACTTAATTTTAAGCATCATTTTGCAAAAAGTCGTCTTCTGTTCAAGACACGTTAGGTTATATTTTGGTACCAAAAGATACGTACCCTTCACCACAGGTTTTTACCTAATGTTGGGACAAGAAATGCATCAGTCAGCAAAAACCTATCAATTCATTTTTACAGAGTGACTTTTCTGTTGAATTTGCTAGTATGCATTGGTATTTAACGTCGCATTCTAGGATAGCAACACTAGGACGCGACGTTAACAAATGGTCCCAGACAGCGGCCCTAAATTTAGTCAGTCCTTCTGGAAAATTTAGGAACGATAAGAAAAACGTCATTCTGCGCTGAGTTTGCACACGACATCACACTAATTGTTTATATAGGGCCGCGCAAAATTAACTTTATGCATTTCAAATAAGTGCAGTGGGACATTGTACAAATATTTAAGAACCATGAGCGCCAACGAGGAGTTAATTGCTGCAGGTACGTTTCCAACTTTTCAAAGTCCGTTTCAATTATTCTTAATTTAAAATCAACAGAAGCTGGAAAGCTTTCTCTCGACGAAAAAAAACCAAGCATTGCAGAAAGTACATCATCTTCCTCTTCGTCTTCATCAGGATCATCGTTATCTTCAAAACACCACTGTCCTTGTGCTCGCATGAAAAGTCGTCCCTGTTGTAACCAGTCCTTCGCAGGATGTCATTTTATGCCGCAACCCTGCATGATGATCCCATGGGGTGCGTTCTACGTAGCACCTCCGTGCTGCTGTATGCAACCACCAAGGTGTTGTGCTGCTAAGTGTAAATGTTCGAAGAAAAGTTCTAGCAAGGACAGCAAATCCGACAAAGACGACGACGCTCCTGCGGAGCAATCTGAAGATAAATCGTGCAACTGTTGCAAGGAAGGAAAATGTGAGTGTTGCAAAACCGGCAAAGATTGTGGGGCAGATGATGATAAAGATAGTGTGAAAAGTGAGAAAAGTGCAAAAAGCGACAAAAGTGACGATGACGACGACGGAAAGGGAGACGACGGAAAGGGAGATGACGACGGAAAGGGAGACGACGACGACGACGACGGAGACGGAAAGGACGACGAAGACAAAGAAGACGAGTAATTCTGACCTAAGTGCCTTATGTTTACCATCGTAATTTGCTCTGTTTTAGAAATGGTGAAGGATCCTCAGTAGCACAATTAATTCGGCAATTTTCTAAAGAAGTGTGAAAGGCGTCAATAAGTAAATTGTTTTTGTTCACACCTCTGCGGAAAGTGGGTCGAGTTTATAGTTGGTAAAAGGGGATGTACTTAATGTTTGTTAGATTTAAGATAACGTTGTTTGTCAATATTTGTTTGTTGTGTTGCATAAGTTATTTACGAGCGGGGAAGAATCGTTATAAAAAATTCCAGCAAATAAATCTTTGAAAGGTTTTATTAGTTTATGAGCATGTCGTTTCGTCTACGATTTTTTACCACACGGTCCGGAAGTCTTGCACGCACATCCATCACTCTCCTTTTTGCCAGAGGAGGACATGTCGTTGGATTTGCAACCACATGAATTTTTGTTTTGAGCGCCAGCTTTCTTGTCTTTTTCATTTGACTTAATATCTATAAAGACATATTATTAACAGGTGTACTATAAAGTAGTGTGAATACTTACTTCTGCAGCATGAATCGCCAGTAGAACTCATGTTGATGATTGTCTGTTAAACGTTTGCAAGCGTATGAAAAAATCTTGTGAAACAAAGTGGAGGTGCAAAGTAAATTTTTAATCGAAAAACATAATACGCTGGTCCCAATATGTAGGTAGGCAAAGAAAGATAAGATAAAACCTAAGTTAATAAACAACTGTTTAGAATAGGAAAACATGTTTACCTCTTAGATTAACAACCAATACACTGCTTCAGTTGCAACGATACTGTCACTGACATGTGAAGTACCGCAGAGAATACTATTATTTTTAGCAGGAAGGTTAATTGAAGTGCTTACCAAAAATCAAGAAGAAACAGAAAACAGTAAATTAATACCAATTTACTTAAATTTATACGATGAAGTTTCGTCAAAAAGCAAAAATGGCTTGACAACTTATTTTAAAACAGTATAATTTATAACTGATATATAGGTGGCGTTCTGTTACCAGTTGCTGGGAGTTAAAATATTGTTTCCACCTATTTAAACATTAGATTCAACAGCGTCATAATGAAGATACAAATCCTAATGTGAGTTTGTATTCAATCTATCGTCCACCTGTAGTAACTGATTCTACGTAAAAAATTGGTCGAAAATTATTTCCACAGAACATCTTTCGCTTCTGAAGTACAGTCCAACTAATATTGCTTCTCTGTAAAATTATAAAATTTGATTTTGGGGAATTTTACTTTTTCGTGATAACCTCTATAGAGTAAAAACAATATAAAAGGTATTAGTCACAGTGTAATAGAAAAAACGAAGGTTTCACCTTCTTAAAACAAGACACTTGGGGCCCCCGAGAAGCTTTCGCCTTCTTTAAAAAAGCACATTTGGCACCCCCGAGAAGGTTTCACATTCTTAAAAACAAGACATTTGGTGCCCCAAGAAGGTTTTACATTTTTACAAAAGACAGTTGAGACTCCTGAGAAGATTTTACATTAAAAAAAAGACATTTGGGACCCTCGAGAAGGTTTTACATTTTAAAAAGAGACAGTTGGGATTCCCGAGAGGTTTGACACTTTTGCAAAAGACAATTGGGACCTTCGAGAAGGTTTCATTTTCTTAAAAAAAGACATTTGTGTCTCCGAGAAGGTTTCACATTCTTAAAAAGAGAGTTGGGACCCCCGAGAAGGTTTCACATTCTTAAAAAAAGACATTTGGCGCCCCTGAGAAGGTCTAAATTTTTAAAAAAGACAGTGGGGACCCCCGAGAAGGTTTCACATTCTTAAAAACCAGACATTTGGTGCCCCCGAGAAGGTTTTACATTCTTAAAAAAGATATTTGGCTTCCCCGAGAGGGTTTTAGATTTTTAAAAAAGACAGTGGAGACAGAGAAGATTTTACATTAAAAAAAAGACATTTGGGACCTTCGAGAAGGTTTCATTTTCTTAAAAAAGACATTTGTGTCTCTGAGAAGGTTTCACATTCTTTAAAAGAGAGTTGGGACCCCCGAGAAGGTTTCACATTCTTAAAAAAAAGACATTTGGCGCCTCTGAGAAGGTTTAAATTTTTAAAAAAGACAGTTGGCACCCCCGAGAAGGTTTCACATTCTTAAAAACAAGACATTTGGTGCCCCAGGAAGGTTTACATTTATACAAAAGACAGTTGAGACCCCTGAGAAGATTTGACATTAAAAAAAAGACATTTGGGACCATCGAGAAGGTTTTACATTTTAAAAAAAGACAGTTGGGATTCCGGAGAAGGTTTGACACTTTTAAAAAAGACAATTGGGCCCTTCGAGAAGATTTCATTTTCTTAAAAAAAGACATTTGGCGCCCCTGAGAAGGTCTAAATTTTTAAAAAATACAGTTGAGACCCCCGAGAAGGTTTCACATTCTTAAAAACCAGACATTTGGTGCCACCGAGAAGGTTTTACATTCTTAAAAATGATATTTGGCTTCCCCGAGAGGGTTTTACATTTTTAAAAAATACAGTGGAGACCCCCGAGAAGATTTCACCTTAAAAAAAGACATTTGGGACCCTCAAGAAGGCTTTGCATTTTAAAAAAAGACAGTTGGGATTCCCGAGAAGGTTTGACACTTTTAAAAAAGACAATTGGAATTGGGACCCTCGAGAAGGTTTCATTTTCTTAAAAAAAAGACAATTGTGCCTCCCAGAAGGTTTCACATTCTTAAAAAGAGAGTTGGGACCCCCGAGAAGGTTTCACATTCTTGAAAAAGACATTTGGCGCCCGTGAGAAGGTTTTATATTTTTAAAAAAGACTGTTGGGACTCCCGAGAAGGTTTCACATTCTTAAAAACATGACATCTGGGGCCCCCGAGAAGGTTTCACTGTCTAAAAAAAAAAACAGTTGGGACCCCCGAGAAGGTTTTACATTTTTAAAAAAGACAGTTGAGACCCCCGAGAAGATTCCACATTAAAAAAGACATTTGAGGCCCCCCAGAAGGTTTGACATTAAAAAAAAAGACATTTGGCGCCCTCGAAAAGGTTTTACATTTCTAAATGAAAAGGGGCGTGTTCTCACCTTTTCGAGGAACTCGGGTAATTTCATCAATAAAAAATTTCTTATGACGTCATAAACATAGATAATACACAATGCCAGAGAAAAAGAGAAAAAAATAATGAAAGGCCAAGTTTGGAGTCGAACGCACGACGTCCGGTCCGCATTCCTGACTCACCACTAGATCATAACCGGGATGCCTTACGCTAATGATAAACCATTATTTATTATATTGTAGCATTATGTTTTTATAAAAATTTTAACGGTTAGGGAAAAACTGAAACTCCATGATATTTCTAATATACACACAAAATTTGACAACAATCAGCAGTTTCGGAGATTACGTGTCTAATAAAAATGAATACAGACACCAGACAGAGAGACAGGCAGACAGACAGACAGACGGAAACGGGACACTACTTTTTTCGTACTCTAGTGGTCATGAAACGTCGAGAAAATATAAAAGTGGCCATTCGTCCGATGGACTCGATTACTATACTTTCTTAGCTTACGTTTGGGAACTAAAAATGTATAAAATTCTTATTAGAGAACAAATGATAAAGATTATGTCCTGCTCCTTCAAGACAACTAGTTGGCTAAATTTGCGTATAATTCTTCGGAGCCGGTTACATTGTGTGTGTGTAAAAGGTTTGCAGATGAAATCATATTACATTTCCTGATTCATTTTCTTCTCGTTGTTTCTTTTTCCGAAGGTGACTAAGTCGTTAACGAGTTCGAACGTTAATTTGGTATTGGGAAAAATCACACATGAAGGTGGAATATCGTAGGTGTCCAGACCTTCCTGGAAACATCCACACATACTTAAATGCGTCATGCTGCAGGTGTACATTTTTATAAGAAAACCCCCACTGATGGTCATTACGTGAAGTTAAAATGCTGTGAGTCTCCAGTTCTTTTAAGAAATTTCCAGTAACAGTCACCAAGGAAGAAGGAAATGCAGGTGTTCGATTTCATCCACAACTTTTCCACATACAGACGTTGTGCCATAGTAACGCTGTACATTCTTTTAAAAACATCCTTGAACAACAGAAATATACTAATTATTATAAGTTCAAATAACTTGATGGCGGGAGTATATAAGACCCAACAAATATTCGTTTTTCTGAAGGCAGAAATTAATTTACTGGTTCTTTCCCATTGTTTCGTAATAATAAATTTTTGTTTTGATATTTATCATCATTGTTATCACATAATTAATCGTTTCTTAATTGCCAACATGTCCTTTTGTATCATAATTAATTTTAAGGACAAATATGTATCAGTTATAACGGTTCATATACATGGTATAACCTTAAATATAACTTCGGTTAGTTTTATTTCGTAACCTTAAGTTCGATATGTAGATGCGATTAGCTAAGTATATGTTTTTTTTACAGTACTTTAGCCTATTGTGTTTTTGGTTCTTTGAAGAACAAGTTCCGCATGTCTAAAAAAAGGACTTCACCCATTCTCTTTTCCTTTGTTTTCTTCTTTGAACCTCGTTCTGACGTGAAAACTAGTTCCAGTGATTACTTTTGATTTATACTACTGTAGGCTGTAGGCACATAACACTTACTTTGTAGTAGATTATGTTAATGTTAACACACATTTTAGGAACTAACTTCCGTTAAGGCCACGTTTACAATGAACAGTTAGTTTTAAATTTTGCGTAATTGTGTTATGCTTTCAAAGAACTTTATGTGCTAAGTCAAAAAGTACACAGTGAAAGTAAATGCAAAATTTTATAAAAAAAACATATATTTCAGATCAAATGACTAACAAATTTCCAACATAAACACGTGAGAAGACAATAAAACTATTAGGTACAAAATATTTGGTATTAAATTAATTAGTAATAAGAAAAACGGAATTGTTTTCGCTATACTAAGGTATCTAACAATTCTTTGGTATGTGAATAATAAGGACTACAACTACTTTCCCCGTTGTGCCTCTGCCTTCGTGAACTGTACATTAAAGCCTGCAGCATCTCGTGTTCTTGGTCTTCGTTAGCAAGATCCCTGTGTAGATTCTCCAAATAATGCCTCCTGCTAAGTAACATTTCCATAGTCTCTTCCAAAACTACCTCGTTGTGTTGCATCTCACACGCACTCTTCGTCATTTCCGTTCGTAAATTCGTTAAAGCTTTCGTCAGATCATCTGTACTAGTTTTGTGTTTGTCGTACTTCCGTAAATTTGCATCTAACCTAACTAAACATTCTTCTTCTTTAAGAAGACGTTTGTTCAGTTTCGCTATAGACTCAAATAACTCTATTTGTTCTCTAATGGTTGCTTCACTAACGGTAGAGCTAGTATCATCATCCTTAATGTCTTTACTAAACTCTTCCGACGACGGCGAAAAACGCTCAAATGACGTCTGGAATTACAAAACTATCAATTACGATTGACATGCAGCGACGATCACTTACTTCCGTCGATCTCGACGCTTTGTTCGTGTTTGATTGCTCACTGTCTCCTTCCGTCATCACTCCGCTGTCGCTGTTTTTGTCCGTGCCGACATTAGCCTCGTTTTCTGGGTCCACGGCTTCTGATAACCCTTTCAGGTATGTTTCGAGGAGGTAGTTGCTTCCGTGTTTACGTACTCTGGCTCTGTGCGCCTTATCTTCTAAATAGCCGATTTGGTGTTCACTGTGCCTGCAGAAACCGCTAGTCGCGTTATCGCTTATTAATTATCTACCAGTTCTCACCTCAACTTCTTCAGTTGGCGTCTTATTACTTCTCCTTGAGCTAAAACTAGTTTTAATAATTCTTCCGTGCTTGATGGCTGTTTTTCGTTTTGTAAAGCGTGTAGCCTCTTCGGGTGTATAGTCTTCCATGCGCTTCGGTCCGACCATGTGCTAGAATCTGATCTACATCTCGTTCTTCTACTAGGTGGTCTGTCATATTTGATTCGTCTAAGAGATATTTTCACCTGTGAAAAATTTTCTTTTGTTTGTTCATTTTTTATGTAAGTGTACTCACTTCGGGTTGAGCGGTTCCCCAAGCGTTCCAAATATCCAAAATGGCGGAGTGATGGTCTAAAGGTTGCTCTACTCCTCTCCATCGCTCTGTTATGTGATACTGTTCTGGTAAACCGATATGACGCCCCTGCAAGCAAGAATTTTTTAATTGTAGTAAGTTATGGAGCAAGAAGTGAATAATAATAATTATGTGTGTTTGTTATTTCTTTTATGAACAGTCGTGACAATTCATGCAATTCATTTATGAAATTTTCCCATAAAAGAAAGAGTGCTTGAGAAATGTAAATAAAAATTACACTTTACTGTATCTATATACAACAAGCTGAATTGTAAGGCCTGTTTTAGATGGTTTTGGAATAAGTTACGGAAGGTATCAATAGTGAACATATAGGTGAGGCCACTCAGTTATGGTGAGTGAAGACAAAAATAGACGACTATTATACAAGTTTAGTAGGTCAGTTATAGTTCAACTCAAGGAGATACAGTGATGCTGAAGGGTTTAAAAGGATGCCAGCGACTGGAAGATAAAGGTCTTAATTTTTGCTTTTAAAACACATATTACTAAAAAATAGTTCACAGTGTAAATATTTTAGTTGTATCGCTTCAGTGTATAAACACCAAATCGACGCCACTGACGTACGTTAATGCAACGTTGTAATCAAGTAATCAAGACAGCTAGGTCATTACTTAAATATAGTGGTAAGTGTAAACCGACAACTGACCTTGAATAGACTAATTAGGGTCGAGTTTTCCACAAACGTTAGACATCGGCTGACGTAAATTCTCGTAGATGTAGCTGAATGTATTTCGCTGAAGAGTTACGAAAGCTTTTATACTTTGAGGTTTTGTATGTTTTATAATGGGGATTTTGTTCTGACTAATCTCTTGAATCTGCAGTTTTTATTTATTCATTTGTGTGAAAAATGATGGAAGGAATCTTTTTTGAGGATTCGACAACCCAAGTCAAAATGACAGTCGGAGCATGGAAGCTGACCTAAATTGAGTTTTTTTAAGATCTTTTAAAGATGTAACTGGAAGACCTAAATTGGTCAGAATTTGGTGGCATTTGATGACATGCCAGAAATTACACGAGAACACGCATTTATAGCTTGAATTTAAGCGTTTTTTTGGAATTTCTGTGTCCTGAATTACTTAAAACATTATAAAAAAATGACCCGGCCATCAGAGAGTAGGAACTAGTACAAAACGTATCCTTTGTGGAATCTGAGCTGATCTGGGCACAATGTACTGTTATATGGGTCAACAATAAAAAGATTTACAGTGTTATCTCAGCGTTTTCTATGACAATTAGATTTCTGAAACGTTAAGAAACATGATGAGGAATTCTGGAACAGACGTTTTTTAACAATTTGACTACATCAAAACGACAACATGATGGTGCACACCAAAGCTATAGGTATCAGAAAGTCGGAACTGATCCAAATGGTAACCTCTGTGGAATCTGATACGATTTCGATGAACTAAGTAAATATGTACACCAAACTAAAAAATGATTTGGGTGTTTTCTCGGTATTTTTTGACTGTTAGATATCTGGAAGATTAAGAAACATGGTGAACGATGAACGATCTTGAATCTGATATTTTCTGAAATTAAGACCACTCTTACTAAAACTATATCAGCCAAAACGTGATAACTGACCTAAATGATCTCAATTTCAGAATGCGATTTAGTCAGGTCAGGTCAAATCAGATCAGTTTATTTTCAGAATGTGAAACGATTTAGTCAGACTCGAGTTTGAGAGACCCAAAATGCTCAGAACTCGATAGGAAATAACTGGATCCAAAAATTTGGCGAGAAAATTGTTTGGAGCGAAAATGGAGACATTTTTTTAGATATTTTTTATCACAGTAGGGTATTTCGAAAAATTGGAACAAAAATCTTCTTATATTGTAACCTTCTCCACTAAGATCACTTCCAGTATGTCACCAAACTATAGTCCTCCGACTATAGTTCAACAAATTCAGCTTCTTTGAAAAATTATAAAATTCGATTTTTCGAACACATTGTAAGAAACAAAAAAGTCCAAACTGCATTATCGAACATTCTTGTATGAGCTCCGGTTATAAGTAGGTATATGCATAAAAGTTTGCTTAATAATTTCGAGAATTTGAATGCTTCGGGGAAGACCTCTGGGCGGATTCATAAACCACAAGTGCAGGCTATTTCATAAAATTTATATCCTGTTTACTATAAAAAGTTTTGAGGGGACTTCATCACATTGTTGGTGGGATGATCAGACACATTTTGGTTAGCGTTTTACAATCTACATGATATTTCTAAAATACATATAAAATTTTACGACAATCGCTCAGTAGTTTCGAAAACTATCTGTTTCATAAACATCGACGCAGGCAAACAGAACGGAAGACCTATTTTTTCGTAATGTAGAGATCACGAAATATCTAGAAAACAAGGAAGTAGCCATTTGTCGGATGATCCCAATTACAATAATTCCTTACCATACGCTAGGAAAATAAAGATAGAATCAAGTGGTGCGTCTGGGAAAAATAGTAAAAAAAATCCTTTTGGTGTTTTACTTTTTACCAATCTGAAAAAGTTTTGGGTGCCGCAGTGTTTGGGTACCCATGGGGTATTATTTTGGGAGCCCATGGAGATTTTTTTGTAAATTATTCAAAAACAAGTTTGAGGGACTTTGGTGTTCTATTTTTGGAAAATTCTGACCTGACCTGTTTTTGAGTTAATTATGTTTTTTTTTTTTTGAAAAATTTAAAACAATCTTGAGGGTCTAGATATTCCTGTTTGGAAAGAATTTGTAAGTGCTTTGGAGCTTCTAGTGTCTTTTCTTATAATAATTTATTGAAATTTCTTGCAGGATACATCATATTTGCTAAAATCAATCTTATCTTAGCAAGTTCTAGCCATAGCCGCCCACCCTTTATTTTCCTAGAGAATATGTAATTTGCCAAAATCGGTCTTAGTCTAGCAGCTACTAGCCCCGCCCACCCACCCTCTTTTTTCTTAGAAGGCATCTCATTTGTCAAAATCAGTCTTATCTTATCAGCTACTACCCCCACCTCCCGCCCACCCTTTCTTTCTTAGAGGTTATGTCATGCTAAAATAAGACCGATTTTGGCAAATGAGATGCCTTGTAAGAAACGAGCAGGTGGGTGGGTGGGGCTAGTAGCTGCTAAGATCAAACTGATTTTGACAAATGGTATTCTCTCTAAGAAGAGAGAGGGTGGTGGGCGGGGCTAGTAGCTACTAAGATAAAACTGATTTTAGCAAGTACTGGCCCCGCCCACCCGCTCTCTATTTTCTTAGAAAGATCTCATTTGCCAAAATCAGTCTTATCAAAAGAGGTACTAGCCCCTCCCACCCACCCTCTCCTTTCTTACAGGGTATGTCATTTGCCAAAATCAGTCTTCTTCTAGCTAGTAACTGCTAAGATAAAACTGATTTTGGCAAATGAGATACCTTGTAAGAAAAGAGAGGGTGGATGGGTGGATAGGGTAATAGTAGCTGCTAAAGTAAAACTGATTTTAGCAGGTAGTAGCTCCGCCCATATTTTCTCAGAGATCTCATTAATTTTGCAATGTTTTAGTGTTTTGGATTGACAATTGACGTCAAATATTAGGGAGTTGATTTTTTAACTTAAATTTCAATGTGGGAGAGCAGAAAATTGTTTTGTTAAGCTATAGTGTTTTGATGGTTTTAATGCACTTGGGTTTATTATTACAATTATGCATCAAATGTATAAAAAAATAACTGGAACTAATTTTTTGCAAGATTCCGATACTTCTAGAACTATGGCCAACAGAACAAGGTAATTGATCCAAATGGTCATCTCATAAAAAATATGACAAGAAAACTGATTTCTAGCTAAAGAGGAGAGTATTTTAGATGTTTTCCTCAACGTAAGGTACACGAAAATGCTGGAACTAACATCTTCTAGTATTTTAACTAATAGGTACACTAGGGCAAATTATTTGTTTGCAAAAATAAGTTGATAGTTTTCTAGGGCTAGTTTAGACTAATTTTTAACAGAACTCGCTACTTTTCAGGAGTGAATGTGGTTTTTATCTTGCTAGTAGTAATGTTGAAAAAGTTTTTTTAAACAAATTATTAGAAGTACTTATTACACAAAACGAGCTGTCATTTTTTAGGATTAAACTTATTAACTAGTGATTTTTCTGAAGATAGCAGCCATTTTGTTTGTCCATCTTATGGAAAATAGGAACAGAGTGTTTAACGCAGATGCTGCTTCTACCCCAGCTCCAGTTTCATCAATCTTATGTAGTAGACAGTGCAACAAAATTATAAGTAGTTTTGTTATCAGTATTAATTTATGCCAAAGGGACTCTGGCTTCAGAGAAAAAGAGGTAATTGAAGTTTTTTATGTATTGTCTTGTATCTAACTCATATTTTTCTTAAAAAAAATTGGAATTAGTTCGTTTATCTTTAAACAAATTCGCAAATCGAACTGAGAAGTTTGTGACTCTTACTAGCCTAAAAACTGCGTATCGCCACGGCATCCAGAATGTCCCAATATTATCTCTGATGACGTTTCTTATTATTTTGTGATTAAATTTGAATTTTTCTGAATTCGAATTTTAGAGAAAAAACAGTGTTAAGCAGACTGTTAATAAATATTAGCAACCTTACTGCAGAACAAGTTTTTATGCAAATGTAAGAAGTCCCACACTTCCACCAAACTGAAAATAAAACGGCAGAATTTCAGTGCAAAATTTGTTCGTACTGCAATGAAAATTGTGGTCGTTCTTGCATAACTAGTTGGGGTTTGATGTTAGCAAAATATATCTTCCACTGTAAGATTGGTGGATCGTAATTTTCAGTATACACAAAATTTTACATAAAATAATTGTAGTTGATAAATCATCTGTTTGATTTGCAAAATGATCACAAGTTGATATATCTCTACAGGAATAAGTGACTGCGAAGACAGTTCAGCTGTGAAAACAATGAAAACGAAAAAACTGGCGGTGATTTTTTGGTTAAATAATGAAAATGATTACGAAGACACGATTTCACTGAAACCAGGAAAAAATTGGTAGAAGAATAAGAGGAAACAAAAACCATGATCACTAAAACAATTTACGAAGAAAATGTAAGAACAATAATTATATTCGATTTGTATTCCAGAAAACTATAGAAACGGCCATTGAGAACCTATAATCGTATTGACAGCCCATGCGAAAATTTTTTGCACAAGAATGTTAATGCTCCTCATAATAAATGATGAGGTAATTCCTAGGAAAACTTGCTTGTTTATGCTGTCAGTGTCCGTTATTGGGAGAGCCCACTATCGAAACGTGAGGTCCACGAGAGAATTACCGTGGCTCATAGACCGGTGAGGTTTCACTGAGCCTTTTCCTCGAATAATCAATTTCAAAAGAAGTCGTGATCTACTTAATTTATCGCATAAGAAACAAGATCTCACGTTTTCTATGACATGATTGCAAAATTTATGTGTACCGATGACAATAAATCTTTTTTCTCGTATGCACTATCGCTAGTGCGATCACCACATTACATTGGCGCGGCTTATTTACCCTACTCTCTTCGTCTTGAAGAAGGACTTGAATGACGTCGTGGCAAGTGGTGTCCGCGGTGATTCCCGAAACCCATCGCTGCTCCCCTCGCACCCAGATGGGCACCTCTTCGTCGCTGCTGGCGCTGTCGTCGTCGGAATCGTCGAGGACGTGTCTTTTGGCGTCTTCCAACCACATCATGGTAACTGCAAAGAAGGAATTAATCAAGTTAGAATCTATGAACTGGTTTGTTCAAAATGGGTTAATGAAGCGTGGCGGATTTTTTCATTGTTTTGTGTTAAATGGTGGGAACTTGGTAGCCCAAGCAAGCACGTAACGTCTCGCCGGAAACACGTAATGCTCCTCCTCTTCTCCGTCTCCGCCATTTATCCACTGATTCATGAACACTTAGCTCGGTAACGCACCTTCATAGAAATTTCAGACACGGTCAATGAATTGTTATGGAAAAGTTCTCTACAACATTTCTTGACTGCCTTATCGATTTTGACCGGAACTCACTTAATTGTTTCGGCTCGAACGGATCAGGTCTGGTCGGAGCTTTTTGCTTGTGCACAGCTGACTGATTGTAGGTCAGTTATTGTTTGAAGAATAGGACTGCGGCCACAAAAGTGGAAAATATTGCGTTTTTATAATCTATGCCAATAACCAAAAATTTTCTATTAATGTTTTTGGTAAAGCAAAGAAACATGAAAAAACTCGTAACCTGAAAACAGTGGTGCAAACTGCGTTCTGATTTTTCCAATAAATGATCGATATATTGATTTTTAAAAATACGTGATGAAGAATTTTACCAAAACTGTTAAATAAAAAGTGATAGTCCTAAATGAAATCTCTAGGAAATGTCACTCCCATTCCGGTGTATTTATGGTTCACTTTGCATTCAAGCGCATTCAGAAAACAAGCTTATTTAAATCAATTTTGGCAAAGCAAAGCGTGACGATGCTTGTTGAATTATTCTCTTTAAATATTCCTTTTAAAATACAGACAGTACCACGCACTATATGTCTGCAATGGTAATCGCGTGGTTGGCGCCTGGCTTGACCTCATTGGAAACCAATCTTATTATCCTAGAGTTTAAAATTTGGACGGATTCTGCAAAACTAACAATGTTCTTCTGCATTAATTAAGGAGATAATTGCATATAGTAAGGCATAATATGAGGCGCATGAATTTAACAAAAACTTGAATATTCTCATTACGGTGTGAAGACAGGCCAAGACGGCAGGTTGTTCTTTTTAAACAATAAGTTCACGACAGTTATGTCAAACGAGCCGTATCACTCAATCTAACCATTACATTAATACCAACTTTCGTCGACAAAAAGTTACTACAGTCTGGCACTTTTACTACAATAAAGCTGATTATGCAAGTCATGTCGTCGTTTTCAGTTGATTGTTAATATCAGTGACTCAGTCCTTCCGCATTTGCTCTTCTTAATCTGTAATACTAAACAAATTAACTAGCGGTAGATATTATTTTTAATAATAACAGACTGCGAAAGCTCAATTATCAATGGATTACTTTAATCAAGCACGAGTCCGAGGATAATTCAACATTTAATGATTAAGCCTAAAAAAGAAGATTCTATTTAGAGAACGTGTTTGGTGCACTTAAGCTCAGAAACTGTTACATTTGGCTGCGGAAGACTACACCAAAACGATCATTTATTTCGTTTTCAATAGACAAAGATTAGCGTCCACAATATGTTACATCGATATAATGACCTGGAATAAAAACGCCATTACCTCGCAACCACGGTCAGTGCGTGTAATTTTAATTAGAAAGTATCTGTGTAGGAACGATTACTGATCAACTGTTTCGGACGCAGTTAATCCCTATTTTAATGGAAAGTGGCTATATTAGTTTGTAACATATGTCAAAATTACATTAATTGTACAGTATTTTGACCTTGGCATGATCTCATCTTCTTTACTTTAGATAATTCAGTTATTTTATAATTTAGCCAACTGTACATAATTGTTTTTTTTTTATCATAATATTTGGATTTGTGTAATTCACATTCTCCTTTCCTTTTCGTCCTTCCTCTTTTTTTGGCGCTGTGTTTTTATTGCTTTCAAACTTTTTTATTTGATTTGATAGGTGTTTTTGGCATTGTTTATTTTATTGTTTTTTGTTTTAATTAATTTATTAAGTTTATTAGTTTCGTCCTTCTTGCTTAATTTATGTTCTAACTAACTGCCTTTCTAACTGAAGTTAATTTTGTAATTATTGATTACTCTGTTCATTAGTTTTGTATTTTTTAGTAATTCGTTTTGATATTTTCATTCGCCGAGCTACCAAAAGTTTTAGGTACTTATTTCTGAAAATTAGCGTAAAAAAATAAAACGTTAAGTTTTTATATGTCTCCTTCCAGGAAACTGATTACGTCATCTCAGATTAATGTTACATAAACCTCCTTCACTTGTATTTTACTTATTTTTTGTTAATTTCACAACATAATGGATATTTTAAGGCATTGACATTTGTGGATTATAGGACGTTAAGTAAAATTTCTTCGAAAATCTGTTGACGTCATCTGCTTCAAAAACAGAATATGTATCAATAAACCTTTTCTGAAAGATCCTTCGAAATTAATTTGCCCCAAAAATTACTTATTATACCGAGCTTAGTGTAATGTACATATGTGGCAGTTATTATATTTACTTTCTGCAAAGTGACGTTGACGTCATTTAAGAAAGTTAATGTAATAAACCTTATTTCAAATGCATGTTCTTAAATGTCATCAGTTTAATGGGCATTTTGATCGATGTAATAAACATTTTAGTGCAAAGTATTGATAAAAAATATCACTGATGAAGTCACACTGTAATTTTTTTTTTGTATGGTAAATATTAAATACAAAGCTTTCACCTGGGTTTTTATCATATAGGATTACCATGGAAATCTGTATTGTATTTAGGAAGATAATTAATCTTCGGAGATTTTCTTGGTTAAAAATTACCACATAAAAGTATCATAATGTTCAAAATTAGTTATATGACCTATAAATACAAAGAATAAGTTAATATTTTATCACTGCACTGCTAAGGATCTTTAACTTTCAGGTTGTAAATTTTTATTAGTGTACAAAAATAGTGTTCTTACGAGGCAGTAATTTATACGAGTCGATAAAACCTTTATTATCACGTGATTAAGGTGCTACCTAAGAAGTAGATAACAAAATTTAAAAATCTTTGCGATCGCTTAACTTATAACTAAAACTGAAAATTTGGCTCTTCGATAAGGATTCAAATTCTTAATCCTTTAATCAAATAAATTTTAAACATTATTTTGTAACACTTTTAAATACACTTATAATAATTAATCTCGTTTTTCTTCGTGTAGAGAGAGAAATAAAAAAAAAGTTCGTAGAAGTATCTCAACACCTGAATATATTAGAGAGAAAAACAAAGCAGAATAATAGCTGACTGCGGTGTCATGTTGTCTGTAAAAGCCAAATTTATATTTAAAAGTTAATGTGGCATTTAATCTTAACTATGCCAGAAGAATAAGATATAAGTAAGTTTTAAAAATATGCAAACTCTGGATTTTCTCGATTACACAGTGTTATTTTTTTAATAATTTTTTATTAATATGCTGTTTATTACAAATGCTTCAACTCCAGTGCGGAGTCTAACAACGTTCTGGAGTTATGACCCGCTAAATTTGAAAAGTTTTTTTTAACCCAAAAATGATACCTTCTTATATATTCATTATACCGTTCCAAACAGACGAAATATCCTGCCTCAAAATTTGTTCGTAGAATTAGGGAGCTTCAAGCAAGCAAGTGCTTCACACCGCAATCCGAATTCTTGTGCCCTTTTGAAGTTAAGTGCCGTTAAATTTGCCAAAAAGTTTTTTAAATTTAAAAATGACACCTTCCTGTTACGTACTGGTCACTTCATATTAAACGAATAGAGCATCCGGTGTAAAAATTAGCTCGGAGAATTAGAAAGCTTCAGCCAAACAAATACTTCAACCACAATGCGAATTCTTATGCCATTTTAGAATTATGTCTGTCTAAATTTGAAAAACAAGATTTTTTTAACTTAAAAGTTGTCATTCCATACAAAACAAATCGAGTATCCGATCTGCAGATTTGCTCATAGAACTAGAAAGCTATAAGGAATCGAGTGATTGAAACCATAATACAGATTCTAGCACCGTTTTGAAGTTATGTCTCGTTAAATTTGAGAAAAAGGTGTTTTTTAACTCAAAAATGACACATTCCTACATCTACATCGCTCGATTCCAAACGGATCAAGTATCCGGTCTGAAAATTGGGTCATAGAACTAAAAAGCTATAAGGAATTAAATGCTTCAAATTGCAGTGTGGTGTTTTGGGCAGTTTTGAACTTATGTCTCTTTAAATTTGAAAATAGCTTTTTTTAACTCAAAAATGATACCTTTTTTAGATATTCGACATTCCATACAAAATGGAACTATTATCTAGTCTAAAAATTTGCTCATAGAACTAGAAAGCTTCAAGGAGTAGAATGCTTCAAACCATAGCTCGGACTCTTGCAACGTTCTGGAGTTATGCTTTGTTAGATTTGGAAAAAAAGACTCTTTCTTGATTTAAAAAAATAAATGACACCTTCCTATATATTCGTCACCCCCATACTAAACGGATCGAGTATCCGGTCTGAAGGTTTGTTTATATAATTAGAAGGCTTCAGCGAATCGAATGCTTCAAACTGCAATGCGCATTTTTGTGATGTTTAGGACTTTGTTTTGTTAAAGTGGAAAAAAGGCTTTTTACTCAAAAATGACACTTTCTTACATATTCTTCACTCCAGATTAAACGGATCGAATATCTAGTCTGAAAATTTGCTTACAGAACTAGAAGCCATCAAGCACTCAAGTGCTTCACACCGCAATGCGAATTCTTGTACCGTTTTGAAGTTAAGTCTCGTTAAATTTGACAAAAGGCTTTTTTAACTTTAAAATGACACGTTTTATCATATTTGTCATTCCATACAAAACAAATGGAGTATCGGGTCTGCAGATTTGCTCATAGAACTAGAAAGCTATAAGGAATCGAGTGATTCAAACTATGCTACAGATTCTAGCACCGTTTTGAAGTTATGTCTCGTTAAATTTGAGAAAAAGGTGTTTTTTAACTCAAAAATGACACCTTCCAACAAATTCGTCACTCTATTCAAAATGGAACGATTATCTAGTC